GGAAAAAGATATTTTGGTCCCTCTTATGTGCAAATGGACAATTGTGATTGAACAGTTGAGTGATTCAACAAAAAATCTTCACCTCTCTTAAAGGCCCCGTCTCTGATCCGAGTTTGTTCCCCAGAACAGCCTTATATTCTTGTGCCAGGTCCCAGCATCTGCAGTGCCATGACAACCCTTCCTCTTTCGTTTTCTCTATTGGGGTTTCGTGGAGACAAGCTATTGCACACTTCTGTGGCACTCTGAGGGGAGAGGAAAATGCTCTCCAGACTGCGCCAAGGAAGCAAACCACAGCGAAACAAAGCCAGCACACAGCCCCCTGCCCTCCCTCTGGCCTCCTGCCTCCTCAGTACGCCACCAGGAGAGCACTGCCTGGCTCGGACTGCGGGTGGCAGGACAAAGCAACAGCAGAGCTGGGAGTTTGGGTGGGAAACTGGCAGTTCTAAAAAGTTAAATCCTTTTTTTTTTTTTTTTAATCTCTATGGATGTATTTCTTTAATGTAAGCACTTGAGCAGATGATTAATGGTTTCTTGTGATCTGTTTTGGTGAGAAATAGGACACTGCTGATGTTAAAACATAAATGATGTTTTCCTTGAGGACCAGAGGCTTAAAACTTCTGATAGAAATTTCTACCCACAAATGGTTGTTATGTGCCTTTAAAAAAGTATGCTGATAGGAATGATACGTTATTTGGTTTTAACTGAGTTTTCTTGCTCTGAAATTTCCCTTAATCCTTCCTGTTTGGGCTCTTCCTTGGTCTGTCTTGCATGACAAATGCAGCTAGTACCCAACTCAAGACTTAGAAAAGTGCAGAAGAAATCACAGCTTTGTGGCAAGGCAGGAAGAATTACAGAACTATAGATGGCTATAGCCCTAAGTATTACTGAGAAACTATTGACACAAACCAATGGTATACTGATGAGAAACTTTTCTCAGGGCAAAGTAAGAGTTTGCAGGAAACTACAGATTCCTACCCATGCCCCTTTGAATATCCTCCCTGAGACAGGATCAAAACAATCCGAGTGTGTGAAGTGCAAAGAAATAGCGTTTGATTCACTGTGGTCTTACTTTGCCTACCAGAAATGAGCTACTGTGCCTCGGTTATTTGGAATGACAGCTGTCAGGTCGCAATGTGCCTGCCAAGGGACGGTCACTATTTACTGCCTTAGCAGTACTATGCAGAGGGATCGTGAGCGCCTGTGGCTGCCCAGAGGGTAGCTGATGTTGCTCAGCCTTGAGACCATAAAGCTCTGCCACTTTTCACTCCTTAGATGCCTGCACACCAGTAGTTGGAAAGAAAACAGCCCGAACTGCAAACTCATTTCAGGCTGAGACCATTTGCCAAGAGTTGTGGTGTGCAGAGATACTCTAAATCGTATGAAAAAAAAATAAAAAATGAAGACCATCTGTAAATACCCTGCATCCACCTTCAGACAGCAACCCTGTTGCTGAGCTAGCTGGAGAATGTCTCCCTTTTATTGGGAGATTATTATCAGAAGCAGCTTATGTCTGCTCTCCCACAAATAGATGGTTGGCCTCTGGATAACAAAGGGAAGGGGATTTCTGTCACATTTTTCTCATATAGGAGTTTATCTTTAGATTTGCAATATTCTCAGAGCACTTATTCCCTGTTTCAAATTCAAGATGGCAAATCATTTAAATGGTCCAGTGACTTTCCACTTGCCCATACAAGATCAATTAGGAAAAATCGTAACAGACCTGAAGCTAAAAGCAGAACATAAAACGCCGGGTGAGATTGTCCTGTAGCACAAAATAGCAACTTCACCAGCAGGCTGCCCAGCCGATGTTCAGATGCAGCTGTCTCAGACGGGGTATTTTATGCACCAAATATCACCTGCGGTAAATGTATCAGAAATCAAAGCAGGGTTTTGTACCCAACAAAGAAATCTTAGTATAAAGGTACGATATGGAAGTGACAGTGTATAAAACCTCTTGGTACGATATGGAAGTGACAGTGTATAAAACCTCTTAGAAATCCTTTTAATACTGAACATCCTTTCAATATTCAACAGCAGAAGGACCTCTCTGGGTTTACATAGGACTATCATTTTTGTGTGACCGTAATTTCTGTGTATGCGTGTGTGTGTAAATGTCCCCCTATATGCAGTGCATCCAAGTGGCTAATTTCAACTAACTAATTCAGGTCCTTCAAATGCTGTGAAGACAAGAAGCCACATAGAAAAGAGAGACCATATAGATTTCTAAATGTCAGGAAAGGCTGCAGAACTCATGCTTTGTTAGACACTGTGTATGTACATTGACTTCTCAGCTGGAGGAATGCTTCGAGTGAAGCTATCGATCAATCACCTGTGAGGATCCTTGTCCAACAGGATACTTCTCAGGGAGGTGGCTTTACACTTATGTGGGGACCACATCTCAATTCACTTCAGAACAACTGCCCCTGGTCTCACAAGCAGACACTGAGGAGTATGTGTGACTGGTCTACCTCAGCTAATCATGCTTTGTAACTTTTTTGTGTGTGAGCATCTTTAAGACAGAAGATCATGAAACTGTGGTTTGAAGCCACATAGTGTCATTGATTTTTAATGTTTTCAGGTTTGATCTCAGAAATCATTTTCCAAATGCATGTGGTGATGGATTTTTTGCAACTCATTATTTCTGTTACAAAACTTACTTGGGGTGCATTTATACCACATACGGTGTTTTTAAGAGACTACAGTATTTTAATTGGGAGGCACTTCGAGATGGGATTGACATAAGCAATACTAGGGAGAGCCAGTTTCTGGACTCTTATGTGGAAAAAGGAAAAATGATTCTTTGTGTTTTTTCAGCCTTTCACTGTTTATTTTAGAAATCCTACAGGAATATAAAACTATCAACGGAATAGTTCATTGAAGCACCTGGTATAAGCGTCTTGTTGATGGAGCCATAAATATTATAGGAAAACATTGTACGGAGAGGTGACCCCAGTGCCATTTGGAGCACTACAGCAGCAGCAGGACTGCAAAATACTTAAAGAAGAAAAAAAAGGAGCAGAAGGTAAAGAAACTCAAGGTAAAATTAATCTGTGAACACCTGAAATAATAAGTGTTTACGCTAAGCTGCTTTCTCTGTGTCTAATTATCAAAGAAAAGTGCAGATGATGCATCTTAACTAATTTATGCACTTGCATGTTTTAGGACATCTTCATTGGCTACGTGACTGCCTTAGAGAAGATGCCTACTTCAGAGTGCTCAGGTAAAATAGAACCGTCAAACTTTTCTCTTGCCAATGTTTTCACCTTGGCAGGGTTAGGCAGTAGCTCCTCTAGATTATTGCTTTTCACCTCATCCAGTCAAAGCTGCAGCAGACGCACAAAACAATAAAGCAGTTACTTTATTTAGTTTGCTTTGCAGGACTAAATGTTGGCCTTGTATCCAGCTCAGTCAGTGGGAAGACTGAGTGACCTCAGCAGGCTGAAATGAAGGAATGAGTTAAGGCTAACAGTTTTGCCTTTTATCGTAACCCTATCTTCAGTTCAATTCAGGTAAACACCCTAAATTCCAGAGTTTCTGTCCATTGAACCAGACTACAGGGGTCCTGTATGACGGCAGTCCATGGCAGCAGTTTGCTTTTCAGTTTAAAATGCAGTAAGTAGAAATCAGTTATTGAAAGCCTTGGAAATTCTTTTCCATGTGTCCAGTACAAGTCTTCATGTATTTCAATTTAGGAGAAATCTAAATAGGAATTGAATAGATTTCTACTGGCACTGATGATATTCAAGGAGTAGGTGTAGCAAGCTGTGGGAACTAAGAAATTAAGAAAAATATTTTAGTGCTGTCAAGAGTAGGTGTAGACATTTTGTACCTGCTAAACTAAAATGATGGGCCTAACATTTAAAATAATATGCTGATGTAACACTCAAGCAGAGCAGTGATTTAGGCAGACAATGATCTTTCCTCTGCTATCCCGTTTCCCTAATACTAGAAGGAAGCTAGATGCTTTGCAATGCAAAGAGAGTGGCAAATAAAAGGATGGTGTGAAGGTGTGATTCATCTGAAAAAATGCTTCACTCAAGCAACCCCAGGAGGCAGGATATAGATCCCCTGTTTAATTCACCCCACCTGCTCCTGGCTTCTCTGTGCCAGGCTGCTCGGGGCTCTCCCTGTTCAGCCTCCGCTGTCTGTGCCCCTCAGCGGAGGCTGGCCTGGAGAAGGAAACACAGGGGCAATGCTTCCATTGTTATTGTTGCTGTCTGCTGGGATTTTACTCTTAAATTAGGGAGCAGAAGAGCTGCCAGCTGGCTCCCAAGTCTCTGGATAACAGAGCTGGCATTAAGCCATCTGCACTGGGAGTCAGCACACGTGCTGCGGCAGCAGCCTGGCTGGAGCGGGAGCGTGGAGGGGACGTCTCGCCCATAGGGCTCCTGCAGGACAGGAGGGCAGTTTGAAACCTCGGCCTCGTGTTCCCTGAAGAGGAAGGACCAGGAGTTTGGTGAAACGTTCATTTTTTTATTCAGGCATCTGACAGATCAAAAAAAGTGAATGCAAGGGAGGACCAAAGCAGAAGCAAGTGTGAAAAGCCGGGCTTTGCAGTGACATGTTTCTAGTAGTTGCAAACTGGCATTTGGGCCAGCTCAGGAGCAGATGTGCAGCCAGCAGCAGGCACTGCTGGCGGTAACTGGGGTTTGTCCTCCCCACGGAGCTCCCGCTGGTTTCTGAGGGGCTCCAGCCAAGGCGTGTGAGGGCTGCAGGCACGGGCCCATCATGCCACTCGCAGTCACATTTGGGGACTTACTAACACTAGGGTCTGGTGAACAGCCTGTGCTGCAAAACCATTCTAATTAGCAGCTGAAGCTCTTGGAAAGCTGCCGCAGATCCCAGCGAGCTGTCGACACCACCGGGGAAAAAAATAATGTTTTAAAAAAAGGGCTTTATAGAGGCTGGCTGCCTGAGGCAGGCCGGGGCGTAGCTTGTCCTTTGCAGCGGTGTTGGCGTGGTTTTATTTCTGGCTTTTTGTTAACGCCGCAGGGTAACGCGCAGGCAGCAGCCTTCGAGCGGTGCCCGCCGCCTCACTGAGGCGCCGAGGGGCGGGGCCGCCATGACGCGGCCGGCAGCGGCCGTTGCGGGGGGCGGGAGATTTGAACGGCGGCGCCGCCGGGCACCATGAGGCGGCAGCGGCACGGGGCGGTGAGGAGCGGAGCGGGGCGGGCGGGAGGCAGGGACCGGACCGGACCGGACCGGGGCCCGGTTGGCATCCGGAGGGCGCAGCCCGTGCCCTGGGGAAGGCGGAGGCTGCTCCTCGGGCAGCTCCTGCTGCGGGGCCGCGCTCCGAGCCGCGTCAGTGCGGGAGCATCCCTGGGAGGTGTCAGGGACAAGCGCGACTTCGCTCTGCTGAGATGAGTTTTGGCTTTGTAACAGCTGATGTGTTAGCGCAGGCTTGAAGGAGGTGTGATTATTTCTTAGGGGCAGTTGTGGGCCTTGCTTGGCTTCTCCGAGTTGTGTAAAGTTTGACTCGGGATGAAAGAAGACCAGCGAAAGCTGTTTGTGTATCGTTCCGGGGTGGGAGCTGAGAGGAAGGGTGCAGGGGAGGCAGAGGTGTTGGCTGTGTCCTGCGCTGCCTGTGCCTGGAACCTGGGGAAGCAAATCCCAGAGGGGAAAAGGAGCGGTTTGTCGGTGCTGTGCTTGGGTCCGTGTTTCGGCTGTGGGGAATGCCAGTGGGGCTCCCAGCCAAACCCTGCAGTGTTAGCTCTGGGAGGCGTTTGCCACCAAACAGCCCGCTGGTGCCAGAGGGCATCCATCCCAAGCATGTCCCAAGCATTTCTCTTGGGCCTGAGCTGGAGACCTCTTCACTTTGGAGAGTCCTCTAGTCTTCTGTGACATCCTCCTTTATAGTGGTGACTAGTCGTCGTTGTGTTCTCACTGTGTGATTTAATGGTGTTAAACACTGACAAATTCAGTAGAACTTAGGTTTGTCCTGCTCTGCCTGGTCACACAAGTCTGGGATCTTTATCATCTCAGGGGAAAAACAAAAACAAACACTTCATATGTTGCCTGAGGAAAATGGGAAACTGTGTTTGTGGATGTGGGCTTAGTGACTTGCTGGCTTTTGATGTGGGGCAGAAGAAACATCTGCATGGCACTGGGCCCTATTTTTGGCAAGAATGAGATGCTATCTGTAACAGAGGAGCTGGGAAATAAAGCAAGAGCCTTAACCTGCAAAAGGGTTCTGAGGTGGCTGGAAGTGCAGAGCATTACAGCCTGAGCCGCGCTGTGCTGAATGTGGCTTACAGACCGGAGCTGCTTTTTCTTTAGGGGTAGCAAGTGGGGGTGGTTTGGAAGGAGAAATGCTCTGAGCAGATGGAGAAGCAGCTGAAGCATTAAATATCTTTAGCTGATGGCATCAGGCCTTCAAAAACAATAAAACCCACTCCTGCAAAGATAGGAGGGAATGGTTGGTGGCTGTGCAGTGAATTTCTACCTGCCTCTTGTGACTGCTGTAAAGGGTCACTTTCTTGTGTCAAAGGCAGCTACAGACAGAGCGAGTCCACAGGCAAGAAGAAAACCGTCTGCCTTGCCCCATTCATGGGCTCTGGTGCTTTCTGGTACTTGAATTGTGGAAAAATTAGTTCCCTTCTATTTCTACCCTGTTCTAAGGCTCAAAGGAGTTGCCAGTACTTTTCTACCAGCTGAAATACTGAACTTGCAAATTCAGTTTATTTTACTGGTTTCAGGCAATTGCTTATAGATCCATCCCCAGAGCGCTTGTTTTGACTTCAGATGTGCTATACAAATGAAAACCGACAGTGCTTATAATTCCAGTGGTTGCTTGGGAACTCTTCCTCAGTGTTGAAAAAGGCTAAGCACTGAATTGCAATGTGTTCGCAATGCAACCGAGTGATGTAGTGATAGTGTCCTGGTTTGTACGTGTAAGAAATATTGGGGTTGGTCAGGGATGGCCACATAATGAGGAAATGGTTATCACGGTCATCTGTGGCATCTAGCACACCTTTGGGAGACAGCAAACAGCCTGTGATCCTTCACCTATATTATCTTCTGGCTCAGTGTGGATAGACCTGTTTGAAATGGCAAGTGAGGAATAATGCAATCTAGAAATATCCAATTTCTCTGAGAATAAATAGGAAAAAATTGATTTTCCATGAGGTTTTACAATATACTAAAAACATATGTCCTTCAGAAAAACCCTGATGCAGAGTTCTAGTGACTGACAGGCAAGTTTGTGTTATTTCATACTTTGGAATGAAAAGATCATTGGTTGCGTGACTGTGCAATGAGGCAAGGCATGGTTCTTCTGTAATGTTGAAGTTACCACAGCTATCTGACTTCTGGTTCATGGCCTGAAGTAATCAGGTATTGAGATATCCTCCTTGTTTCGCTTCTAGGTATTACCTGAATTGTATGTCAGCCAGAAATGAAAAATTATGATTTTCAACCCTTTTTAAGACAGCCAAAGACATAAGAAGATTAAATTTCAGATTTAAAGTATTTCAGATGTTGTCCTGAGATTAGAGATTATTTAACTAGGGAACGCTGTAAAAAGTGGAGTATTTATAAGCGTTGTTCAGTTAGGACTCACACCAACCATATGAGAGGACCATATTCTATTATCCTGTGAATGACACATTGAGGCACATGCATTTTTAGTAAATTTCAGACGGATGCTATGGTGAGTTACTTTTAGCACCTGGTTTGGAGTTTGCATGTATAATATGCATAACAAATCTGTTAACCTCCTTTGTTTGACAGTATGCTCGTCTGTGTCTGAAGAGAGAGTAATCATTTTACGTTTAGTAACAATTTTAATGGCTGCATATAATTAAGCCTAGGGCTTTCTATCCCAACAGTATAATAAATAGAGCTCCTTAAAATTCAGAGTAATGTCAGTTGGATTTTTATTTATTCTTTTGTTGTTTGTTTTGTTTTGTTGGTGTTTTTTTTTTGCGCATCCAGGAATATGACATCCAAGAGAAGATTAACTTTGAAATCCGCATGCGAGAAGGCATCTGTAAATTACTTGCAGTGAGCACACAGAAAGACCAACTTTTGCAAGCGGTTAAAAACTTGATGGTTTGCAATGCTCGTATACTTGCATACCGGGCAGAGCTACAGAAGCAGCCTGGAGAGCCAGTCTCATGCGGAACTGAGGGATGGTGAGTAAAAGCTCTAATGCGCATGGAGCAGTATGAAGCGGCCTTTTGTGTGTGTGCATTGATAGGTAGCCTGTATAGGAAACTGGATTTAAACCCTTCTTTCTGTCTTCCCCTGTGCATACATTCTTTACAGTTGCTTTAAATCATTACTTCATAAAATCAGTTCAATATCATCCTTTTTATTTTAGAAAAGTAAATGCAGATCATCTTTTTTTGGATAGATTTTATCATTGATGTTAAACAGAGTGAATAGACATTTTCTTGATTACCTTTAGCAGACAAAAAAAAGTGTCTAACCTAGCCTGAGGGAACAAAACAAAATAGTCCAAGTCAAAATACATGCATTTCTACTTCTGTCTTTCTACTGTTGATAAGGTCTCTTTAATGATGGAATCATCATGGTTAATTGGTACCCTCTGCTGGTCACTTTGTTAACTACATCAAAGTGATAGAGTACGACTTCATCAATATGAGGAAAAGGCAGTTTAATAATGTTTTTACGTTATATTTCTTAAATGAGCTAACATATACATGATTTATTTTAATAACTTTATTTTTTGCCTAATGGAATAGATTTTGATGCAATGTTAAGAATTGCGGTGCAGAGATGTTATTACTTTAATGAAATACTATATTGCAATTAAGCATAGAAACTCCTGAAGTATATGTGCTTAGCTCCAGTGAATTGTATTTGTAGGAATAATCCTGCTATTGTTTGCTTTCAGAAACGTAGTTTTACAGAAGAAATTTATTGAAGGAGAGAACTGTATTTTCTGACTACATCAACAGTTATTGTGAAAGATGCTTTTTGAAAACTAGCACTTGTAACTTGTGGTATTGTGTAGTTACTGCAGTTGCATTGCTTTTTTCCTATGAAGTGATGATCCTTATAGTGATTCATCTTTTATATTTTTTTAATAATGGAATAATATCAAATACACACACAACTTTTGGTCCTTGGTGCCAGTGACCACAGGATGGTGATGGCACATGTCAAGAACAGGGCAGAGATATTTGGAGATGTATCTGAACAGCTGCATTGTTTTCCTAAAGTCATGATCAGTTGTGTTGTTCATTTGACTGGCCTCAGATTAAAGTTCTGTCTGAAGGGGTCCTTTGAATTGTCACAAAGGTCATTTGAAAAGAGATTCATGCCCTAGGGTAATTTATCTATGATTTACATCTTACCTTTGATTGTTAATAGTGTGTTTACAGTTCTTTTTTGGTATATGGTGGATAGTGAAATTTTGTTAAAGCTTAATTCAGATAAGATGATGATGGCTGAGAATAAATTCTAGAAGTGACTTGGGTTTTCAAATGAAGTTTATTCTTATTTCTCGTTACGTGTGTCTGCAGTCTGTGAGTTCTGAAGATAATCCAACTGCCTATAGAAGGAAGATATTGGTAGTGATTAGAAAGTTTCATTTTACCCTATTTAGTTAGGTGTCGGGACCAGTGGCAGATATAGTGAGTAACAAAAATTATTTTCTATAGATTGTTTTGATGCAGTTTAAGGTTCATCTTGAGGTTTACACTCTAGCTACTTAGCAAACTGTCTGCTTCACAATATTAACAACACACTTTATTGTAATTGGGCTCTGTTAATAGAGGATGAGTAACCAACAATAGAATCGATAAATTAAGTTGTTCATTCATGTGTACAGAAGGAGTAAAGTTGATAATGTATTTGATTCTCTTGGAGCAAGACAGGAAAGATGAATCTACTTTTCTTCTAATAATCAGGTTAAATAAGCTTTGGAATAAGATCTTCTAGGGAATTAAGAAAATTGATGGTGTACCTTCCTTCCATATTATCCTCAGGAATCTAATGACTCATATCTTAAAGCAGAGAGACTGCATTTGACTTTAAAGAAAAGCCTTTGAAATGAGCTATAATATGGATCCCCGATGTTTTTTTAAATGCTTGAAGGGTTGAGTTACAGAAACGTAAATGTGCGGATCTGAGACCTCATTTTTTTTCCTTCTTTTTGGCAGGTTGTCAGGCACTGGTACAAAAGACCGGGTAGCATGCAGAGCAAAAGTTGCTATATCAGGTAAGTGGCTGGGTTGTCAACTTAACTGTAGCAGCCAATTGGTGGGGCAGTAACTTGTAATACAAAATTATACAAACAAGATGATATTTTTGAAGTGCTTTTGTGGTTCAGGGGTGTAAATCCTCTTGTGCTTTAAGGTGATTTGTGCTTTTAAGTCATACATTTGGTTTTAAAGATCCCACCAAGCATTTACGTTTTCCTTTCAGGGACTTTCACAGCAGGAAATGCTTTTTTTCTGTTTAGTGATAAACACTGAATACCTTTCAAAACTAAGTAAGTGTATATGCGCTGAATGTGCTGAAAACATCCTCTTCCTCCTACCTCTCCCACCCTTCCAACAAGCTTTTGATATGATCTAACAAACTGCAGGCACAATTGTAACTAGTATGCAAATATAAATGTTCTTTAGCTAGTGCAGGTAACTACTAGAGCAAAGGTATAGTGGTATGGCTTAAATGCAAATTAGCAACAAGTATATTTACTAGTGATTTCCAGTAGGCTGATAAACAGTTTCCTTGCCTGGTTTCAAATTTCATTGCTATGAATTTATCACTTTATCTATGCTATGTTCAGCATGCCTGTAGTTGCTTATTATGGCTGCTCTGCTAGCTTTTCTAACAGATCTGTTTGTGCTCCCTGAGCTGCTGCATTGAAAAAATACTGTAGAAGGGCTCACTACTTAAACTGTTTAAGTTCGTTCTGCATATTTTGACATATCTCTAAGAAAGGCAACTTCTAGTGGAAGAAGAGTGGTGATCACATGGTACAGTAATGTTTTCTGCCAGCACAGCTGTTTGCAGAATGTATATCTGTCTTTCCTCCTTATGGTAGTTGGATGAACGCATCTGTTTGCCTGTCTGTGCTATGGTTGTACCTGTCATTGGGTTTATGGAGTTATCTGCTGTAAAGATCATATATACTTCTGTTATCTTCAGAACATCAGAATTGCAGAAGGGTTTTTTAGTTTTAAAAAAAAAAAAAAGTTGTGTAGGATATGAAATACTAAGCTAGTTTTGATGGGACAAGAGGATATGAGGGTGAAATATTACCACTTATGTGCAATGTTTTAATGATTTTGTTGTGTTACTAATATAATAGTTCTCAAACTGGAGGTTATGATCCTCAGAGATGTGGCGTAGATCATGGAGAAGAGGTATCAACCACTTCATTCTGAACTCAAGCCTGTGCGTGCTGGGATGCTGCCATGCCTCTTCAGATGTCAGGGAGCCTGGCCAGGTCCCGCTTACAGCAGGAAAGCCTAACTGGCCCCTGCTTAGAGATTTATGCCTTCTAGAGATCATCTATTAACTCCTTATTTTCCACTGTGTGTGTCTGAGAAGCAGAGAACTGTTACATGGGAAGTAATTATGTATGCTTAATGAGGGCAGGAGCCTCTCTGTGAGATTCCTGATTGGGAATCCTGGCATGATGTTGATACATGCCCCCCTAGTTCATCCTTGCATCATCCTGTGACCCATCATACTGTGCCCATTTAGCATGCCAGATCAGGCCCTGTCTGCATCCACAGCTGCAGTATGTTCACATCTGTGATGTCCCGTTATACATCATTCCGTCTTTCCCGTTCCTTATGTAGAAAATTGAGCATGCTACATTTCTTCTCTCTTGTATGCTGACCCTCAGTGGATTTGCAGCTGGGGTTTCTCTGCATGTTTGGAAGGCATATGCATATGCACGCACCTGCCTTGCTGAAAATGCAGTTGTGAATACCAGCAGCAGGAATCAGGAGATACGAAGACTGAATTGGCTGGGAAAGGCTGGAGATGAGGAGTCAATGGTAAACCATGTAATATGAAAGGGCATGTAATTTAAGAATTGAGGATACAGAATGGATTTTTTAGGGGAAACTAATCCATCTACTTATAAATATATTAGTGTAACGTGATTAGTATGCATCAGAAGCTTAAGTAATTTAAAAAAAAAAAAGTGTGATCATGTGGCCAACACTGAAAGTTCAGGAACAGCTTTTTAAGAATACTGAGGAATGCACTCCCATGGAAAGCAACTGCATGTCAGAAACTGAGTGGGGAGTGCATTCCTTAACACATAAATTTTCATAGTCCTTTTATTCCCCACATTGGTGTAAATTATGTAGTTTGTGTCTTACCAATTAATTATTTTGTCAAAAGACAACACGTTAAATGTTGATCAAAAAGCATAATCATAATTTAAAGTTATTATATGAAGTTCTAATAAATGTCAGAAGGAATCATTAGTGTAAAACCTGATAAACTGTAGTGCTTGAATGTATCAAATCTGAATCCACATGGATTTACAGCTAATTGTAACTGAAATTAAGATGTGTGAAAATAGATCTTTGTTTTTGATGAATGGCAGCTTTTTCAATCCACGGGTGAGTTGAAAACTGATTTTCAAGTAACACGTTAAACTTGTTCATGCAATTGACAATCTATATCCTGATGACTGTCTGATTAAGGTGTAAATTTTTCAGCTAGTGTACTATTGAAAGTGACACACAAAACCAATGTTTAATCAATTACTGTAATTGTTAACAAGAAATATCAAACGCATTAAAATTGTCGTTCAAGCCATGCTATGGATAAAGATGCTAAAAGGCTTTTATTGTATTTCTTTATTTTCACATATTTATACAAATTTACGACCTTTGCTTTTTAGGGAAGAAGTGTTCCGTGCTTTGTCTCTAACAGAAATAAATATTTATATGTATATGTAGAGTTTAAGAGAGACTTCTGCAACTGTATTAAGGAACCTATTTTTATCTGTTTCCTTACTCTAAAAATAATTAAAGGCTTTTAAAAATGCTTACTATGCAAATACATCTTTAGAAATGAAAGGCAGTTTCAGAAAAGGGTGATGCTTTGGTTTTTAGGAAGTTGTGGTGGTCTAAAGCTGTATACTGATAGTTCACTGGGAAAGTTCATTAGATTTCATGAACGCTTTTAAAATTAGATGACTTAGCAAGTTCCAAAATGGAAATGTCATCTTTAATGAGATGTTCCATAGTAACGTAACCAAAATTAGCTTAAATTAATATTTTTCCTTTAATTTAACTTCTGAAACAGTGACTACGTTTATGTAGCTTTACTTAAATCAACAAGAAGTTGAGTGTGTAATTCCCTGTGGGAATACATGACAAGTAATCCGTTGGAAAAATACCGTTACTGTTTGGCATCCTAGCATACTGTATGTGGATTTTTCCATTATCCTCATATGAACAGTGGAGTCAGCAATGCTCCTGCATAACAATATTGAAGATTTTTATCAAAAGACAGCTGAGGTATTGCTGTTCACTGCTGCCATCCTGTGTCGCTTAATATATTGCATATACTTTTACGTCATCATGTTGTACTTAAGGAACCAATTTTGGATTAGTTGAGCCCCCACTGCATTTAGGTTGTAAGAAGGGATGAGTAAGAAACTTTGGATATAAACTTGTGCCCTCAAAACTAGAGAAAAATATAACTCAGTGTTTGGGTAGGTAAACTATAAAGCTTGTCGAAGAAGATGCTTTCTTAATATTAAAATGACAGGCATGATTTAAAATAATGTTTCTGTAATTGCCTCTCTGCTGCAGTCCTGGTATAGAAGGATATTTTCTATTAAAAAAAAAAAAGTTTCTGTAGTCTTTTTATGCCAACTAAGACAATTCTAACTGGGTATGTGATTACAAGTGGTATTTTCTCTGTGGTTAGCAAAACAAGACTTAAATGCTTGCAATATCAGTATCCTGATTTTTCCATTAAAACTGGATGTTTTTCCTCTTGCAGTTGGAGGAGTGTTTTCCAGCACCAGTCAAGCAGAGTTTGTTTACATCTTTGCATAATAATGGACTAAAACACCTCTCAAAACTATGTTACACAGCAACTCTAATATTTTATTTGGGGTACTTTCAAATTAGATTTAGAATAGTCTTTATGCTAGCATGATTTATGAAAGAAAATGTCACTTCAGATTGAACTATTTTTTTTTGATGTTGATAATAAAACTGAAATAGTTCTACTGTTCATTGGGTAAAAGGTCCTTTTACCTCCATAACACTAGGAAAAGAAAAAATAAACTTTTTGTATTTTGAACACAGTTTTGCAGTATTGCCTAGACCTTAATTTCCCTATCTTTTTCCTCTCTTTAGATATCCGAATACCATTAATGTGGAAAGATTCTGATCACTTCAGCAATAAAGAAAGTATGTAAGATATAATGAACTTCTATGATAAATTTACAGGCATAAGTAATTGCTTAAAACTGCATGGGGAAGTCCGTACGGATCTCAGCACTGTTTTTTTTGATCTTTCAGTAGGTCCGTATTTTACTCTGCTTGTTGAATAGTAGCTCTTCACTTGAAGTTGTTGATTGTAGCAAGCTGAGGTAGTTCAAAGTCCTATGGTTCTGTATATTTAAACTCTAGTTTTTTAAAAAGTCCTACAGATGAGACTTTCCAGAGGAATCAAAGCATAGTGATGTTATTAACTGGACAGCTAATAAACTCCCAATTAAACATATTGTTCTATGCATTGTCTGTACTTGAAAGGGTATATTGGCGGTTGTTTCCAGTGAGAAATGTAAATGAAAGTTGTCTGTTAGTTTTGAGTGGATTACTGATAGTCTTCAAGTACATGCATTTTGCTGTGTCATGGAGATTAACCCCAAATCCATTCCAGCTGTCATGTGGCATTGATTTCAGTTTGGTTTTCAATAGGGTCAGAGGGGCTAAGCATGGCAAAATAGTCTAATCCTTTATAGTACGTTCATAAAATGATGCTGACTCTGTAACAACTTTCTTTTTTCTTAAAAGAATTTTATTAAACAAAATGGAATTTCTACTAACATTTCTGATATTATTAGCATAAACTGCCACTAGATATCAGACAAAAAAAAGTTGAGCAGAGGTAGGTATGTGAATGTTGTACCTATACAGTAGCTTTGAAAGCTCAATTATCATAAAATCCTATGATATAAAACTTAGGGTGGGAATAATTTGAGGGCAATTTCTTAGATGTTCAAATTGCCATTTCTTCTTTGTTGTTTACTGGAAGCATTTAGTATTGTGATGTGTTATAGGTGTAATAAAACATTTATTTGACTCTTCACAGGATCACAGCGCTATGCAGTGTTTTGTTTGTTCCGAATGGGAGCTGAGGTTTTTGATACAGAGGTGGCTATTGTGGATAAAGCAATAACAGATATCTGTTTTGAGAATGTAACCATATTGTGAGTATAATTTATCTGTGTTGAATAAAATACAAATAGCCCTGTTTACTTTTGAAAGTGGATATGACTGAATATGGTTAGCTGAGGTCCATTAAGTTTTCCTGTGAGCAAAGGAATCAGTAGAGTTTCTGTGAATTTCATTGGGTGGTGGATCCCCACCTCCGGAAGGATTTTTTTATGTAGAGAGTGATCCTGGTTGTAGATATACCACTTGAACTGTGTCCGTGTTTCTTTTCTTTTCTTTTTTTTTTTTTTCTTTTTTTTTTTCCATGCCGAGGCATTTTATTTAAAGATAAAACAAACTTGTAGCTCATGGACAAAATCATATCAACATGAAAAACGGAAAGCACTATAAAAATACACTTCCGTAGGCATGAATGTTGCACTTAGTGTTTTAGGTATTCTGTGCAGCAGGCTATGGTCTCTTTTGATGTTCCCCCAAGTCACGGTTTTCTTAAATCGGATGTTACTTCCCACACCTCATGTTCTGTTATACCTATTTGAGCATGTGTTACATCTACAGCCCTCATAGTGGAAGAATACTAGACAGGAAATTACTCACTTATCTTTAAAGGTAACCTGGAAAGGAATAGAAAGGTGTTCTTATTTACTTTTATGTTACTTTATACATTTTAAAGAGTCTTGAGAGACGCTTAACTATTTCTCTTTTTCTATTTTTTCTTGTGTGCTGCTTTATTTTTTATATTAGCAATTTAGATTCAGTCTCCTGAGAGAGACTGACTGGAAATCTAGAACTACTGAAAACTTTAAATCAAGATCTTGAAAACTGAGTAGTTGAGAGAGCCCAGATCCATAAATCAGACTTGCTCTTTAATACTTGTTCAAGTTAAAAGTAGGGGCAAAGATAAAAATTTAATTATTGAAAGATACAACTGTTCTTGGAGAAATGACTGCTATGATTTTCTGTGAAATACAGTGGGAAAAGTCATTCAAACTTCCCTTGTATGCCCCGAGATAAAGGAAAACTTACAAAAGCCTTTAGGATAATTTCCTTATGTATATGTAATGAATGGTTTGTACCTGAAAGATGAGGTTAGGCTTCTGGTTTGATTAAGCTTGAGAATATGGGAAATAGTAGAATTGAAAACAGACAACAGGGTGTGGGCAGATCGCAGCAGCAGGTAATTGATGCTATGAATGACAAATGCGTTGGTTGTGAGTGAGATATTATTGAAAATAAAAACAAAAATCCTGTGAAGGGGCAAGGGTGCAACTATGATGTCGCTAAAACAGTTCAATCTGATTTGGGATCAGAGGCACGAAAAGTTTTCAGCCATGTGACTTTTGCATAACAGTAGAGGGCAGATTGAAGTGTGTTTGCGTGTCTTGCCTGTGTATTTCCATAACATGATTTTTGTGTTTTTATTCCAGTTTTTAACCTAAACATTGAATTTCCTGTTTGCAATTGTTTATGGTTTAATTAAAACATCCATCTCATGACTTCAGCACGAAGTTACCGATGTGTACTCTAGTCTTGAATTATATTGTAATGAATATCTTTGTCTGAATCTGATATAAATCCTTCCCTTGATTAGCAATATATGTTATTTAATGTATATATCATAGCAGCAGCATTCCTTGGCTGTGTAATACTAAGCTAATTAACAAATACTCTGAAACTTTCTCCTCACCCCCTTCAGTGATGAAGCAGGACCAGATTTCCAGGTGAAGGTTGAAGTGTATAGCTGCTGTACAGAGGAGTCTTTATATGGGACAAACACTCCTAAGAAACTAGCAAAGAAGCTTAAAACATCCCTCAACAAAGCTACGGGGAAGAAACTCAAAGCTGCCCTGGAAGAAGACAGCACTGAGTCCCTTTTGCTCACTGACCCAGTCATACAGTAAGACCTACATATGGATATTCTGATTTTTATCATATTTTTAAAATAGAAATGGGCTAAATATATTGTCAATATTTGGAAAATTGCCAAGAAAGTGATTATTTCTGTACTTAACCAGGTGGAAAAAAGTTAAATAGGAAATGAGAAAGTAGGTGTGAATTCCAACAATGCAGCTCAGCCTCGGGGCCTGGTTCTGATCTTTAACCATGCAAGTAGACTTCATCTTTCTTATGTACACCTGGTAAATCCACTGTTATTTGCAAACTTTGTAATATTTTGATCTCTGGAAGAAATGAAAATTGTGTGATCGGACTGCCTGTGTCCCTCTGTGTATTGATATGTATATATCAGTACTCTGGGTATTGATATATACAATATACCCATTGTATTCCTGGCCTTTCCCCTTTACTCCTCCCCGCATATCATTCTTGCACCTAGGCAATTTTGCTCATTCTTTACAGAATGGTAGACATGTCTAAAAGTTACAGGTTCTGTGAAATGTCAGAGCGTGGTGTGTAGTCAGGAGGAACCTTTCTTGCACGCTTTCCCCTAACGAAGGTGGCAGAGCTGTTTGCTGTGCCTGAGCACATGGGGCCTTTCCACTTACTGGCTTTTCAGTGAAACTGTTGACTGGCTAGGGTTTTTTACAGTTGCTAGCTGCCTAACAGAAATGTCTCTAATTGTCTTTAGCATGGAACATTTTAAGAACACTTACTGGTTTCTTATGTTCACAAAAATATGTGGTTTTCCCAGTAATTCACCTATGTTTCCTTTAAAAAAAAATCTCAAGTCTTTCATGCATTTTTAATGAAGTTACCTGCCTACTAGTATTTCCAGGCTACATTAATTTCATTGTGATTTAAGCAGGCCAAGTACCTAAATTGTAAATACAGCTAATATTGTGTTTTTATTATTAGTTTTTAATTTTTAAGAAGGTAATTTTTACAAGGTATTGCCTTTTTTTCTTCCACTCTGGTGGCTGAACAGTAGGGAGTCAATGTCTAATTCTTACCAGGTGTTGAGCAAAGTCTTAGTCTTGCTTTATATATCTGTTTGCCTGGATTATAAAAGGAAACATTAAAGCATGGTCTTTGTCCAACTGATATTACTGTGTACTGAAGTTAGTGTTTCATTGAAAAATACACATCCAAGAGATCTTAGCCATAGAGCAAAGCAAATTTTATCACTAACTTTCCAGTGTGTTCTGCCTAATGACGATGTGCGTCATCTTAGGTGGATGTGCTTTCCACAGGCTCCAGCTGGGTGATGATGTTAGATACAGTTTGCTTCAGATATAACCACAAGCTTATTTGCTGGCCATACTCTCTTGACTATAGATCATCTGTCTATTGAGGAAGAAGCATCAGTAGACAGTCTAAACAGCTGTCTCCTCCCTTGGGTTTTGCTTTGGGTTTCTCAAATGTAATTTATTATATTTTGCTTTCCTCCATCTTTAAGTTTGATTTTTCTACTGTAAATCATCATCTTACAGTGACTGTTATTTCTTAACAGAATTGAATGAGTAATGATGTGTTTAATAATGGCTTTGCCAGCTGATTAAAAAAGATTCTCAGAAAGCAAAGTTTAAATGCAGAAAATAAGTTGTCAATTTTTTTGATAGCCTTCTCTTGGGATTTTTATTTTTAAAGCCTTGGTATGTAGCACTTAAAGAGTATGAAAGATTGCATCTTTCAAGTGTTCCCAGAGAATTTTACTGGTCCAGCAGGTGATATTAAAGCACAACAACAAAAAAGGGAAATATCTGTATTTTAAGAGCACTGTTTCTCTGTAGATTCCATTTGTATGGGTCTTTTCTTCTCAGAGCACGTGTGGGATGAGGTGGTCCCTTTTCCAGAAACTCTGTGATCCCTCTGTGTCAAACTCCTTGGCTTAGAAGGCTCCCTGTTTAGTGAGAAGACTGTTGGACTTGTTACTTGAAAAAGTTTGGTGACAAAATGCTTGGAATGGTTGCTTCATCTTGTTAGTATCACTTAAATAATTAAAAACAGAGAGGATAATAATATATCTTCTCATTTTTATGTGGTTTTGCCTGCTTCATTTTTCTGTTATTTTTTATTATTATTATTTACACTTGTTTTAGAAGAAAAATGCTTAGTGCAGCTCTACTACTGAATTCTAGTGGTTGTGCTTGGACGAAGTCATCAGGGAGACTCCTTGCAGCATAAATTTATTCGCTTGCAGAACTGGCCTCCACATGGGCTTGTTGCTACTGCCCAATTACGTATTGCCTTCCTTTGGGCTGGAGGCATGGCTTCAGTGTCCTATCTTTGAGTTGGAAAATTCAAGTTGATATTTTGCTGGAAGAACATAGTCTGATCTAATTGCAACATTTTTATATTTGGGTGCTTTTTATGACCTGAAGATTATATTTACTCTCACCTTTTATTATTTAAGATGTGATTGGAAGGTGAACATCTTAGGCATTTTTTTTGACTTGCAAATTTTCCACTCTGTATATCTGGATGAGTAAAATAAGACTGGGATTTTTAACAGTAAGATTAATATTCTGGAACAGGTTCTGGAATCTGAGCTGTATTAATTAATATGCATTGATAATAGGGTGATATAGATATACCTTGTGCCAATGTCTGCTTAGCAACGTCAGTGCCTCTGCATCTTGATCAGTAAACAGGTTTAACAACGAGCCTTTGCCATAGGCAGGCTGGGGATATTTTTTTTGCAAAGTTATTAAATGGAAAAATATTACAGATATGCGAAGTACTGTATGAGCTGCAGCAGGCAGATTGTTCTTTGCTGTACAAAGAAGCTGCCATTTAAGGCAGTTAGCTACTTCTGTGAAAAGTATAGGCAAAACACACTTAATAATCCTGATTAGCCTGTTAAATTTGAAAAACAGTTGCAGATAAAACTTAAAAATTATATTGAAGTTGGCTGAAAGGAATGACTGTTATGTTTTAGAAAGAAAATGTTACTGTGAAGCATATTTTAAAAGTGAAGTAGCTGATTTTTTTTGGCAAGGTTGTTGTAGTAATTAGTCATGCTTTAGAAAAAATAACTAAAATCAGCACAGAAGTTTTATCTGTTAGAGGAAACTGAACTGTTTTGTACTGCTTAAGTAGACTGGTAGTGTAGAGCTAAACTGGTTGGCAAAACATAAAAAGTGGAGAATCTTTTGTTAGGGAGCAGTCCAGGAAGGAATATATTCAAATGCTGATGAGTTTTTATTCAGATGTTTCTTGAAATGTTTCATAGCAGTGGTTCTTAGCACAGAATGCTAAAACATATTTAACTTTCTATTTATTTCCTTGAATTAGATGTGTAACAGACCTCCCGGCTAATGGTCTTAATATTTTTGCCTCTTCTTTCACTGGGTTAGGGCTAGGTAGGGATCTGCCTTGTTCCTCTGCAGAGCCAAAGATTTTAAAACAGTATGTGCTCACTCTGCTATTAGGAAAGATAACATTTGGAAAACACATATATATTTTTTTAGTGATATCAGTTCAGTACTCTGTTCTCACCTCTTGCTCTAAGCTATCTTATGCTATACAGAAGATATTTTAGGGATTTAATGCTAGATTGTGTTAGGGGGAGTAGTTAGTGATTCTAAGTGGATTGTTTTCTTGTGAACTTTGTTTAAACTGCTATTAGCCAGGTGGAATTCTTACTGCATTGCTAGACTGTAAATCTGTTACTCTGTCTGAAGAGTATTTGGGGAAAAAGGTTAAACATGTACCAAATTTATACTGTTTTATTCCAAGAACTGCATTCCACATACTGTACTGAATTGCAAATGTGATTTTTTTTTTTTCTAAATCCCCCCTCCTCCCCCCCCCCGGCAAAATCTAAAACAAAGATACAGCATTCTGAAACCTGTAAGCACAATATGTGAAAGAGTCCTTCATGCTACAAAACTGGCTGTAGGATTTCTACACAGATTTTTTTTTCTGCATGCAAAGATTCAAATTATTGGATACTTTTGAGTGTGTGTGTCTGTATATGCTTTATAAAAGTTGTTTATACTTAATCTACACAGTCAAAGTGAAAGAGCAGAGTAACATGGAAAAGCAGTATAAAACTTCTTAATTTTTAAACCATTTTTTTTAAAAAGCTAGTCATCAGTTGTTTCATCGGCTATACTAATTTTTGAACCTATTACCAAACCTGCTTGGTTTAGGCCTAGGAATAAATTCTGCAAACCTATTAAAAGTTGTTTGGTGTCTGACTAGAGAAGAGAGATGCTTTTAGCATTCTCAAGGTGCAGGAGGCATGGAAAGCACAGCCCTTGTGCCTGGGTTTGGCAGCGACTGGTGCACCAGTACAACTGAGCCACCTCAGAGGCAGTGGCTACATGAGCTATCTCCTCCCGGGTGGTGGGTCCGAGGGAGGTGGGCATGGGAATTGCTGAGGGGACTAAGCTGATGAGGCCTCGTGGCGTTGGCCTGGATGGAAGTCGTGGGGTGGGAGGGAACGGGCTACCACATGGGTTTTGCTCAGGTGGGAAGCTGAGCTCCAACACAACTGCTCTCTCACTCCCCGCTCCAGAAGGGGAAAAGGGTAGAGCACCACAATGGGGTGGAGGCAAGGTCAGAGATAAGGGTACAGGAATCAGCTGACCAGACTGTGGGACAGTTCTCATTTACAAGGAAAACTGGAGATGTGGGAGTTCTGTGGGAAGAGGCTTGGGGATGGCAACCTGTGGTCACTAGCAGGTGCTGCCTTGCATCTCAGCATGCTCCAGTAATCAGACGTGTTCTTGGGTACCTCTAGGCTCCCTTTAATTTCTGCCTGAGCCATGCAAAGCAGAAATGACTTAATTGTGCCTTTTCTTTCACATACAGTGGAGCAAAGTACAACTTGCTAGCGTATACCACTTTGGGGCTGGAGAGTGCTGAGGATGGTTTCAGGACCCATAACCTTACCATTACAGGAAATGGTAAGTACATATGGTACCAATTTAAGGAAATAAAAGAAAACAGAAACATTCTGCATTTCTCTATTTTGTATACTAAAGAGTTTAAAGAGACTATTTTTCTTGATATTTAATATAAAACAACTTTAAATAAAATATTTAACTGTTCTAAAACAGGCATCTATACACAGCTGAATAAAGTATAAGTTGATAAAATTTCAAGTCCAGATGAAAATTTAATTCATTTGGGAGTTTCTTCTGTCATTTGCATCTGGATCTTATGTGAGCTGTAGCCATATACAAATTATTTCCCCCTTCCTCACAACTAGGAAAGGGTATCAGAGTGAAGAACATCTTTTTCCTCATCAGAATGATTTTTTTTTTTTTTTTTTAAATAAAATAAGCTTCAGATGAGCGAGGCTGTTTGAGGCCTAGATTTAGCACAGGACATAAGCACGTGTGCTTGCAAATTGCCTTGGTTGCTGTCTTTCACTTCTGGGACAGTACAAATTGCTGGTGACAGCAGTCAAGCAAGATGCTAACTTAGGTACTGTGATTGTACTCTTGCTACTTAAAATATCACCTGCATTTGTAGCATAGTTTTTCATACTTCATCCGTTATTTTCTTAAAGTATAGCCCTTTCTGTAATCCACCCTCTAATTGTTAAACTAAGACATGGGCCTTTGTAGCTGACTGTCACTTCTGGGAACTTCATCTTTTACATGGGTAGATTTGATCTGAAAGAGAATTTAATTCTTTACACCTCATTCATTCTGAGTAAGTACAGATTTGAAGATTTATGGGACATTTGTTTCTTGAAGGTTTAGATGAAAAATTCTACATATCTGTGATATTAATTTGTAAGCATTTCTTTATTACTCTTTTCTACTTTTTCTTCTTCAAATTTATTTTTCTATCATTAATTTCCATAACTTGTTCTGGTGAGAAATGACATATCTGGGTGTTTTGGTTCATTACAAGCATTTCTAAAACATGACTAAAGACAGAGTCATGTCAATGGAACGTTGCTTTACCTGCTTCTAATTACAGAAGAGAATGCCTTTGGCATAGCAGAGCTGAGTGAGGAGAGAGGCTGCAATTTATTGGTAATTCCTTGGAATCCTGAATACTTTTCTAGTGCAGAAGACAGAAGTAGATACAAATTCAAATCCTAATAAACAATCTGGAGCAAAGTGCTTACATAAAAAGCTGTGCCCCAGTTGGGGTGGGCTCAGGGATCCTACTTGGATCAGGTGGCCAGTGTGCTTTTTGTTTCAAAGTATTTCTAGCTGTGAAATTAGATTTAGAGCTAGATTTCTTTTGTAACAATAACATGTTCCTGCAGAACACTATCTCCATTTTTACTTGAAATTCTTTTAGAACTTCTGATGATTTAAAAAGAATAAAATAACTAAAGATCAGTCAATCTAATATTAAGGGATGAAGTCTATTTGAATGTAAAGTGCTTATTTATGTAAAAATGAAAGTAAAAAGTTAAACTATATTTTTATGGGAAATATTCAGAACTGTTTGTGTGTATGTGTTTGTGCTTTGTTGTTTGGTTGTGGGTTTTTTTTTTTTTTTTTTTTTTTTTGGTCTGGTCTTTTCTCCCAGAGGAATCTTCTTTTTGGCTCCCCCTGTACGGAAACATGTGCTGCCGTTTAGTTGTTCAGCCTTCCTGTATGACTAGGGACATGATGGCAGGATTTCTGAATCAGCAGGTAATAAGATCTTGCTTGTGTTTATATCCTCTTCTATTAATAGCTGTCACTTACACTCCGCTGTTAAAACATTTGTTTTTTCCTGGAGTGGTTTCTTGAGTAGCTTATTTTTCTACCTGTCCTGCCTCTAGCAAGGGAGGGGATTCTACCTGACAGTCACTGTTTATAAACAGCATCTTTTTGTTCATTGTTTACAAACAGTGGCTAATAGTCAAGAAATAAACATTTACTTCATATGCTTATCAATAAAACTAGGCTATTAAATACAGATCAAGTACAGTTGTTTCAGAACGCCTTTAGGATGGTACTTGACAGCAGCAGTCCTAACAGTCCCGTTGCTCCCACCCTTGTACGTACCTCTCGTGCTAGAATGGTGAATCCAACTGGGGAACAATATTTAAACTCATCCCTCCAAAAATGATTCATGTGAACTCTGCTAACTTCTCTGTTCCTGTTCGTTGCACAACTAGGCAAACAAGATGGTGATAAGCGGAGGGGCTGGTTCATGTGTCAGGAGTACTAAATTATGTGGTCTAACCTGGTCATGAAACTATAATGCATCTATGAAAGCTGTTCAAAAAATCATTTGAGTGTGGAGATCCTAGACAAATATCTTTGAATATACTGCATACTTCCACAGTGAAATACTTTTTTTATTTCTTCTGTTGTTTAATAATGTAGCTAATAAAGGTGATCTTTTTCTTACTGTAGACACCAATTCTAGGCTTCAGTCTGAACCAGTAGATTCTGTACTGTGGGTGTCATAAGACAGTAAATCTGGGAAAACTGTAAAATACCAAAAGACATTTAAGCTATTGCTAGCATTTCAAAAAAGTGGTGATTCCGAAGTGTTCCGCAACAGAAGGCCTTTGTTTTTGAGAAATAATTAATTCAGTGTAGAGAAGTATTTTTGATCACACAGGCTAATCTGTGTGTACCTCATACTATGCTCTTAATTTGTAGTTTATGGCTGGCAATTCTCTGCTTCTTCTCTTCAGCAAATGATAGGAAGTTTAACTAGCTGGAGGAGGCTGTACTGCGTACTGAGAGGTGGAAAGCTCTTTTGTTATTACTCACCAGAAGAAATTGAGGCTAAACTGGAGCCAGCATTGACAGTTTCCATCAACAAGGTAAAAATTATTGTATATGGGTCTTTTTTGTTTGTTTGTTTGCCTGTGTTTTTTTTATAATTATTATTTTGGAAGAGGTTGTTTCTTGTTTAAGACATACACCTACAGTCATTTTGGCTCTAAGCTGCTGGTATGCAGAAAGCTTTATAGGTAGGATGTCAATGGGATATGCTTCAGTGAAATTTGCAGTCGCTGAGGTTTTCTTGCAAGGGCATTAAATGTCTCAGCTGTGGATATAAGTTCCTTCTATTGCACTAAGCTGTTGAACATAAAGGTGAAAAGGAGGATGTTTTTTCTTTAGGAAAAGTGATAACTTGTTATATGACTGTTCCATTGTCTGCAGTCACTTAGCAATGTTCTGGGAGGCTTTTGTCCTCAGCAAGGTGGAATTTTAACAATAGCTTTTTTGTTGTTTTGTGTTATTTGGCCACAGTCTTAATTAGAGGGAGAACTGGAAAATTGTTCAAAATATTTTTGTGCTTTAAAATAAGCTGCTTTTCTTAATACTGTTTTTGTACAGAGCACAAAAACTTTGGACATTCTTTACAGCATTATTATGGGGTTTTGTACCCTGATAGGCAAACTCTGGATTTAAAACTTAAAATGTTTCTATTTGGCTAAAAATGTTAAGTATTTAATTTTTAAATAACTATTTACATATTCAATTTAGGAATGATACTGGAAGGGCCTTTTAGGATGGAGAGCATTAGAGTGAACAGATGCTTTCAAAAACTGTTTTTGGTGCAGACATCAAGAGTTAGTATCACATAAGGATGACAGAAGAATTTAACGTTAATTGCAATTGGCTTAGCTGGATTCATCTTGCATAAGTAGACAGAAACATTTGGGAACTGTGTTAGGCATGGGTTGATCTGGATTCTGGTGTTGTACTTGTGTGACCACTTGATGCCAACGGTAACTCTGAAAGAAGCTCTCCGCCTTCCCAGTCTTGTTCTGGCTGCTGTGCTGCTGTATGCTGGGCAGGCAGTAGGGCAGCTGACTGATGAATTGGAGTAGGGAACTGATGTGGGTTAAAATTAGCTCAGCTGGGGGGGCAGGGTTGGCTTCAACCATGGTTCTCTTTAATGCATTCTTTTATCCTGATCTCTACATGACCACACAAGCATTTGTACGCGGAAGGAGCTGGGGCAGGATTGGCAATGTGTAGGGACATAAAGTAACAAAGAACTGCTTCTTACAACAGTAATATCAGCTCTTGGTGGCTTTAAAGTTCCTGGAAGCTGTGATTGCATTCTCACGTAGAGTAAAATCTCTCTCTCTATACCAAACATTTAAACTAGGGATAACAATATGAACTGCTTTTGTTAGGATTTCTTAATGTGCTGTGTTTTAAATCGATTCCTTAATTAAAAACACCTTTCTGCTAGTGCCTTATATTTTAACAAAGCCATCTTTCTCTTCCAGTTTGTTTAAAAAAATGTTTACACCACGGTACATATTCGAGCAGTTTCAGTTGCATACTTCTTCAGTCACTTTTAATTATGCTAGTCAAACTTTGTTATAACTCTATCTATTTTCTAGCTGTTCACAGTAACAGTTAGGAAATGGTAAATTTTAGTAAAATACGGAGTGACTAAATCCATAGTTTAAAATGTAACAGGAATATTTTTTAAAACTATCTGTCAGGATATCTCTAATCTTTCCATAGGGTTTGCTGCCTTGGTCTATATCCTTGTTTTGCTTTTCCTTTTAAACGAACCATATTCTCCTAAGGCGTTTTACTCCTCTGAGTTACCAATACAGTTAGAATCTAAAATCCAGCTTAATAAGCTTTTGCTGGGAGACTGTTTGTATGTTGGCAGAATATCCTTACAGCTAACATGTATGAGGTACATAAATCATGTATCTTACCATTTTGAAAAAAATTGCAGGCTGCTGGAGAAGGAGACTATGAATCCTTATTGATATTAAAGCCAGAAAAAAAAATGCAATTTAATACATTTGGATACTTCAGTACTTAAAACAGTTTCTCTTGAAAATAATGTAATGGCTGTAGATTTTTGATTCTTTTATTATGAAACTGTCTTACAGATTAAATGAGCACAAGCTAATCATATGGGCTTGTCTGCTACATGTTGTTATTGAAACAGCAATTTCAAAACCAAAGTTGAGATTGAAAATCAACTCTAGATGTCCTAACTAAATGTCTTCTATTTGCATACGAGGTACTGTCATTTGTAATGTGAAGCTGGTCCTTTACATGTAATTGCAAGATACTTTTTGAAAAGCAATGAAGTCATCTGGATTTATGAGAAACTATCTGGAAAATATTCACACTGATAACATTATTTCCCATCCCTTTGAATCGAGACTTGAAGAAGCCATTAAGACCACCAAAGTCATTACTTCAACTTCAGATGACTTCACTGCTACCGCTGTTGAGCAAGAATGGTTCTGCAGTTCCTATTATGCAAGTGTTACTATTATTGTTCCAGCCAAATGTAATTATAACGTATTATATTGCACAACTAAGTAGGAAAAGAGAAATGGTATTTTCTGTAGCAAAGAAAATTTGCTGGAATCCAAGCTGAACAAGAAATGTTCCTTATGGTCCAGTTCCTAAAATTTGGTAGCTTTCTTTAGTTTTAAATGAATAATAAAGGCTTTGCCTATGCGTGATAGTTTAGCAAATAGGTGTATGTACCAACAGTTCACATTTATTGCTCAGTAAGCTGTTGGGGCTCCTTCATATATTATAAAACTCTTCTGTGACATGGGTGTGGAAGCTTCAGGAATTCTAGGAGATCATTTCAAATTAACGCAGGCCCATCACTTCTTCCCTGGCATGTTTTGCAAGTGCCCTCTTTGATCTGGTCCCGTGCAGTGCAGCAGGCCTAGAGCTATCTCCATGCTTGTACTAGCTGTTGAGGTGAGCAGGGTGAGGAACAAATGTTTTCAGCCTTTGGCTCAGGCTTCACAGATACATCGCTAAACACTGTAGTAGGAGTGAAAGGAGAAAATCACCCTGATGCTTCTGCAGACTTCCCGCAAATGACAGCTCTTGTTGGAGCATCTGTTCTGGGTCAGGTCAGGTAGAGAAATTCGTTGGAAAATGTAGTGATGGCAGTAGCAGTATCACTTCAAGGGGACCATGCAGTGTTTTTAAGAAACCAAGTAGCACACCATGGGACTGGAACAGAAGGGTATTGATACATGTTCTTAACAATGTGAGCATTTAGGGAGCCAGGACGATATTTACTATGAATGTCAGGCAATTCCAGCACTGGTACAGTAAGAGCATCCCTGAAACTACCAGTGTTGTGTGTAGTAATGTTGCTGTCCCACTGTCTGACTTAGACAAGCCTTTGTACATGTGAAAATATAGCACGGATTAGTTAAATGCCCTCAAATATGTGGTGTTGTATTACTCAGTTTAGTTCTGCAATTGCTTGAAAATGACTGCATGTGGCAGGGGAAGCAGATACAATACCCAGATACCACACAGTGGACCTTGTCACACACATGCTCAAATTAAGTGGTTAGGAAACTATGCTTTATGGCTCCCTGGTGCTCCATGGAGTGCTGGCTGGTCGTATAATGATGTCTCCTCACCCTGGTATTTGGCTGCTGCATTGCACTGACAATAGGTAAAATGCTATAGCAATATATCATAATACAGCTCTTCCATTTTATACTTATCCACATTTCCACTGGATGGTAAGTACTGTGGGGTGTTATGGTAATACAAGTTCAGAAAACAATGAAGATGAAAGGAAGGAATAAAGCTAATCTGGTAGATTTGGTCTTATGTATTATTATTTTTGAAAACCACGATTTTAAAGTTAACATTACAGCAGAAACCAACACATGAACAGATTATTTTTTATTTCTAATGTTGTGTTTTTATTTCTTGATTTGTTTTTTGGTATTAAAATCCTTAGAAGAAATGTGCTATATGCATTTTGGTTTGTTTAACCTTAGAGCAGATGCAAAGAACTCGATTTTAGACTATTCAGTATTTTTCTCAAGAACTCTAATTTGTTTTGATGTCTTGTAGGGATCTTTATAAACTCTGCTCATCAGTGTTTCAGGATTGGCTTAGCAGGAAATGGCTACACCTAGCAATAAAAAGCTTCTTTTTTTTTTGTTTTGGCTTAACTTTGCTTAACCGATGAGCTTTCCAGTGAAGTGTTGTCAGGCAAAGAATTTTTTAATTTGCAGGGGAAAGGTATAGACGAAGGCTTATTATTTACATTATGCTTAAAAATAATAATAATAATAATAATAATTTTCCCCACTTTCAAAAAAAAAAAACAAACCTATAGAATGTAAAACTAGCCTCAACCTCCCCGAAGGAGTCATTTGAGTTCAAGATTCAACTCAGTTTTCCCACTGCAATCAGCTGGTTGTTCTGGTCTTTACAAGAGCAAGAGAGCTCAGCTGGTTAGCAGACTTGCTTCAGTTGTCTATAAGACTGTGGAAGGTTGGGCAGTTTTATAACATGGTACTTTAAGTCACTTTTTTATTTTTTTAAGTGAAACTGGGCTCATGGTGTAATTCACCCAATTCATCAGCCCATTACTGTAATGGCATCTTGTATCACTCTTTAAATATTCAAGCATCAGGTGTAGATTGTTGCATGAGGATTTATCTCCTTTGAATAATAACATAGTTGTGGAATAAAACCTGCAGCAAACATCATTAAATAAACTTGTGTGTATGGTATGCTTGAAGTTCTTACCTGTCAAATGTTAATCTATTTGATTTAATTTTTTTTGCTGGTATCTATGGTTACCTGAGTTAATGGGATATAGAGCACTTATGGATGAATTACTTCATCTCCTATTTTTAGACAGAAGAATTTAAATGAGCATATCCATCAGATATGCTGCAAGCAGCTGTTAGTTATTTCAAACGTTTACTTCAGCAATGCATTGAAAATCTGAGGAATATTCTATACAATAATTTCGGGTTTTCTGAGTATCGGAACTAGGCGTATCCCCATGGGATCTAGTGTGTAAACTTAATTTCTGTAGGTGCATATTTGACATCTGTAGCAGACTTTTGACATTTGGTTGAATTGTGTAAGAAGGAACATGGCTGATCTGTCCCCACTGTACCTTGAGGAGTGCCCCAAGGCTACCTGGGGGTCAGTTTTGCTGTCTACCCAGACACTGAATGCAATCCTGGCTGTAGCAGCTGGTTTCCTTTGAAACACAGGGCACTCTGCGTGCCACCCTTGTGTAGCACCCGGCTGCTGCACGTCCTTACCATGCAGGAGGCTCCAGAGCTGGTTGGGTCTAGGGTGCCAAAACACATCATCCTAGTGGGATTTGGGATCATGCTCCTCTCCTGGGCTATGCTAGTGTTATAATAGCCCATTGCTCGTTTGGCCTGGTTGAAATGTATGTGCAAAGATATTTCAGGGGATATGGTTTCACTTTTGGAAATAAACTGGTGGTAATTATTTTCATTTGTTCATCACGTTGTGATGAACAGCAGTGTTTTCTGGAAAATTTTCCAGTTGTGCTGTGTGAGACTTCTATTAAAATCTTTCGGTATCTTACACATGAAAAATACGTAAACAGTTTTTTCACTGAGTTTGTGGTAAGTGCTATTTTTTACTGTAGTAATGCCGTAACAAAGAAACTAGGTGCTATGAAAATACCACTTGGATATAGTCTAGATGATAAAAATCAGTTGAACTATGTCCCTGTACAGAAGGGAAAACCTCTAACAGTGCTGCTGCATGATGTTTGTGATATTAGTTGAGTGTTAGAACTAATGATTTGTTAGTTCTGAATGACTTAACATTATGTTTTTAATTGTTTCCATCTAGCGCTCTCTAAATAAGGCAAAACTAAATTTTGAAATGACAAATAGGATTATTTTGTATATTAGACCAAATTTTTTTCATTGGAAATCTGTTCGGTAGAACTGTATGAATTACTTCTACAAATGCTACTTTAAATGTGGATGAGGTATGTTTTTTTTAAATTACGTGTCACTGTAGCATTAGCCCTTAACGTCCTGATTCACTGAAATGCAAGTAAAATAATGTGTATTTAGAATCCATTGCATAAAAAATGACCCACAGGAGTATGCTAGGAAACCTAACTGTAAAAATACGCTTGTCCAAATGAAGATTTTGGAGAAAAGGAGCTGGCTATTGCTGTTATAGGTTATTCACTAAACTGCTATGAAGAAAGATGAGCTGTGTGAGATGAGCTTGTAAAGGCAGAGGGAGGGGGGAACAGAACATACATTCTTTAATTTAGACCTAGACTGTAATAGTTCTGCTCCATTCTCTTATTTTCATATATTGTGTCATTTGAATTGTTTTATGAGAAAATATTTTTATAAGCAATTACTGACCTTACTTAGTTCCTTTTTTTAAAAAAAATAAAAAGCCAACTCATACTGCCATTATACTGTCATTGGCCATAAGTCGATATGAGTGAGCTGAAGCAATAAATCATTACCACAGTTTGTCATTTGTAGGAAACCAGAATTCGAGCTGTGGATAAGGACTTCAAGAGAAGAACTAGTAACTTTTCTGTTATCAACCCTGTGTCTGGAGAGGCTGTGACTCAACTTTTTGCTACTGACAGTAGGGAAGAACTTCATAACTGGATGGAGGCTTTCTGGCAGCACTTCTATGATCTGAGTGAGTAAGGAGGCAGTGCTGGCACTGTGCCCTTCCAGAGGGATGTTATGTAACATCAAAGGAATCTTTGAACAATTTGAATTGGAATTGCCTCATAATCCTTTGTTTGCAACGTTGAGAAGAAAAATGTTCTTTGGAATAATATTGGGTGGTGGTCTAAGCCACTGGAAGACAAATATTGAACTAAACCAGTGTCCGCATGTTCAGGCTGGCTTTTTGCAGGAAACCAGTAGTGGAACATGTCCACCAGTCTCAAATGAACTTGGCCTCTTTTAGCAACGTTCTGGATATTTTTAAGGCTAAATTCTCACCATCTCTTCTTCCACTGTAGCTGGGAGGATCCACCTCTACCTGCGCATCCTGTCAGTGGTGTGGTGTGTTGGTTTTGTGGGATTCAGCATGTATGAGGCCTGGAAGTCTTAGTGGGCAGTGGTGAGGGTGTAGGATTCATTTGGGGCTGACGATAGGATGCAGGTTCAGCCAGCCCTTGTAAGTAGGAACATGTATGTTCCTTGCCCAGCAGCATTATGGATTAATTAAATTGCTGCTTTAGGGATTACTTGATTCTGTTGGTAATTCTAAGGTTTTGGTACCCCATGCCACAGGGGAGTATGCACACGTAGCTGAACAGAATGCAAATACGTACTGCTTACTTGAAACTGGTAACAACTGTACCTGAGGCTCTGTAAAATGATATAAATGAAATAAATACTCCAATCACTTGTCTTTTTTTTTTTTTCTCTATTCAATGCTACAGTGTTTGGGGATCTTCATTGGTTAGTTAATTTTTTTTCAGGAAGCTAACTTACTGACTGTGGCTAACCTCTGGAACAACACTGTTCTTACATGAGAAGAAATTTGCTTCTTAGTATGACAGTGAAATGCTACTGAGGTGGTGTATTGTGTTGCTTGTTTAACACTAAATATTAATTAAAGGAACTATATATGTTAACTTGTCTTAATCTTTTTCCTCTGCCTTGGTAGTTTGACTCACAGTTTTCTTAAGAGCAGAGAAGAACAGTCAGATATTATGCTGTCATTGACAAAATACAGTTGGTTCCTTATAGACCTTTACATCAGGGCAGAAAACAGAATGAGGTAGACTAATGAAATACCAGTGTTTAATCAGAGGCCACACCAATGAAATCAGTGAATTGAGGTTGTGGGACCTCAGTATTTTATTTTGTATTTCTACTTCTTTTTAGCTCTGAGTTACAATGAGAAGAGGCTCTATCAATTAAAGAAACACACCAAGCAAAAACTAGGGCATCCTCTTTAAATTAGCTGTGGAGTGGGGTAAAAAGAACTAGTACTTATTCATTATAGATAGAATACCCATGGATTTTTTTAAGACGTTTTCCTTGGGTTCAGAGAAAATGGGTCACTTGGCATTTAAATGCCTTTTTTCTTCACTGGTTTTAAAAATCTCTTAAAATTAATGTGCTCAGAAAACTTAGAATGATTGGTATGAACAAAGTAATTTTACTGTGTCTTGTTTTCCTTAAGGTCAAAATCTATTAATAGAAAAAGAGGTTTCCTTGTCTGCTAAGAGATAAAAGGGAAGTTATCCTCTATTAAAGACAGAACTGTTCCTTTACTTTAACAGTTGTATAATGTTCAGCTTGCAGTATACTGGTGTTCATCCCCTGATAACTTTATAAGCTTCCTTAACATTAAAGGATGATTTGAAAAAAGAAAAAGTGATGAATTTATACTGGGGTTGGAGATTTGAAGGGAAATTATGATATTTAATGTTTATACTATAATTACTGTTGAGATGCTTCAATTAAAGGTTGTACCTTATATATAAGCTACTATACTAAATATAGTATAGCTTAGTATGCTGAGAGTTGGTATGAGATCAAAGTTGAAAATACTGCAAATGCATTCTGAGTGTTTCTGCTAAGCAAAAGTAAATGCTTACTGTTTAGCATTTCTTTGGAGATAGTTTCCTAACACAACCTAATGACTTCAGTTTTTTCAAGCTGAATTGTTTAAGTTCCAATCATTGTTCTCTTTTCTCTCTCAGGCCAGTGGAAACATTGTTGTGAAGAACTTATGAAAATTGAGATTATGTCACCACGGAAACCACCTTTGTTCTTGACAAAAGAAGCGACCTCCGTCTACCATGATATGAGTAAGTGGGATTTGTCTTTTCAAGTTGCAGGGTAACAGAAACAACATTGTCTGTATTCAGATGGCTTCCGGTGTTGATGTTGAAACACTGAGTTTTTCAAGGGCAATTCAGACAATGAAAGAGCAACATAATTGCATGCCAAGGAGTTCACATTAAATCTGAATTTGTAAATTTGTAATAGCACAAATAATGATTTTTTTTTCTACCTTAACTCAAAAATCCTGCAATCTAAACTGTAACTAGGGAGCACTGAACACATTCAAAAAAGCCATCGCTAGAAGTAAACACTCACCATGATAATAGTGTAAAGCTCAGAGAATGTAAAGGTAAAATAGTCTCCCAAACAACAGTGTCTTTAGTTTCATAAAGTTAATTTGGTGTTCTTAAAGCTATTTAAAGGCTTAGCTAACTTAAATTGCCTAATTATTTGGTCTGTCATAACGATGTTGAAAAACACTCAGAAAATCTATCTAGCATGTATTTGAAACTACTATTTTTGCAGAGCAAAATGGTACACAGCAGGACTACTTTAATAGTTTCATTACAGAAATAATATTTACAGACTAGAAAAAGTAGGTCACTTTATTTTAATGAATCCATTGCAGTATTGGCTAAAAAACACTGTGCAGCTTTAAATGCCTGACTGCTTGCTGCTTGAGATTGGAATTGTGAAGATGCTCAAAATGCCGTGTGGGTCACTGAGTTACTGTGCATCAGAGCACTGAACAGTCAAAAAAGTCCTCTCTGAGCTATGAACGCAGAACAGTAAGGGAGTAATCAAATATATTGAAGTTTTACAAAGGTAATGCTGTAGCATAATTCTGCTCATACTCAAATATATTGCTGTGGAGCAGAATGCAAACTCTGTTTCATTCTTTATATGCCAGTGTTTTTGTGCTTATTTACTGTATTCATATGTAAAACCCTGTGTTTAAAATTGTGTTAAAAATCCTTAATGTGTGACCTGAAATAGAAAAGATATTGCTGTTGTTTTAGAGGCTAGCAGTACTGCAGTGTACATAAAACAAACAAACAAACAAAACTCAGTATGAGAGATCAGAAATGGAGCAAGATAGTCTTAAAGCACATAAAGAAAAATGGTAAATGTAAAGATGTCCCATTTTCTGCAGGCTGGAGGCACAGGAATATTTAGTCGTAGATGTTTACATGGGCCTTTTGTGAAACAAAATTTTACAAATACTATACAGCAAAATATATATAATTTGTGTGTGTATATATGTATATAGTACCTTGTTTTTTTTCTGCTTTTTACTTGGTAAGAAATACCAATGCCTACCCTGTTCTCTCATTTCCAGCTGTCACACGAACAGTTCCTTCACGTCACCTCCGCCTTCTCTAGGAGAGCATATGTCATCATTTCCATTTTTTTCCATTAGTACTTTTAGTAGTAGCTTAGGCTTCGTGAGATGTAGTTAATAGAGTTTTTCTCTTCTGAATAGTAATAATGAAATAGGGAGCAGTAAAATTATTGGTAGCATTTTAATCTGAGTTAATTGTTGTCCCTTAAAATTACAGGCATTGATTCCCCAGTGAAACACGAGGGTTTAGCTGATATCATACAAAGAAAAATTGAAGAGAGCGATGGTGAGTTCCTGCTTTGCCAGCAAAAAGAGTCTGCATCTTCCTTATGGGCTTCACTCTTTGACGGATCTCATGAGATGGTTGTTCAGAAAAACATGCATCCAACCCCCAAAAGTGATACTGCAAGTCCCAGTGACGGCAGAGGGAAGAAAAGAAGAGCTCCACTACCACCCTCTGATAAGTCACCATACAGTGCAAAAGCACAAGTGGGCACACAGCAACTTGCCTTGCAACTTGGCAAGGAAAACTGGGAGAAGCCTGACAGCGCACCCTGTAGTAGTTCTTCGGATTCAAAGTTACCTGTGGTAACAGGCTGGCAGACACCTGTTGCTGCTCCTGGCAAAATTGGTCCTTGTAGAAAAAACAGTTTATCTGACCATGGAAATCCCATGTCTTTGGTTGCCAAGACAGAGTCTGAAACCAAACCAGTACCAACCCCTAGGCAGAAATGCATCACAGAAATGCTAGACCCTAGATCATGGTTGTAGCCACAGGCATAATTATTAGCTTAAAAGAGTCCCTGGAATTTTAAGTTCCTCAGTCTTAATAACTTTTGAGTGCAAATAGATTTTATCCTACAGCTTGTAAGTATTGAGTTTAAAGTGTTTTTGGTTTAGTTTTCTGTCTTTAGCCAGGACGTTACTACTAACAAGCTGCATTCTCAGCTGTACTCATTATTGCTAACATCTAAATAATTGCAGTAGTAATGGGGAACGGTTTATATGAAATAACGATGCCACTTCTGAAATGGTGGTTTGCTACTTTTGCCTTGAAAAGTTGGCAGTATTCAGGGCATCTCAGTGTCCCTGCACCAGGGATTTTACTGTTGCCTTCTACCAGTCCCTCAGCTTATCCCATCTGCAGCTCCTCACACTGGTTCAATTGGGAATTTCACACATTCAGCACCAGGCTCGCAAAAATGATTTTCTTGGGCTCCATGCTTGGCTTCACCTGAAATATTCTCATATCTCCCTCACTGTTTGGGAACCGCTGCTTATAAGATAATGTACTGTGAACAGTTACTGCACGCTTCTGAATAGCTGTATATGAATTTCTGAAGCAGTTCTATCAATTTAATGTGGGATCTCTTCGGTGCTTCCTGGTGCGTGCACTGTCTGAATGGACCAGGATTATCTGTGTACGAGCAAAAATGGAATCCATCACTTTGCCTTATTTTGGACTAACACAAACATGTAAAAGCAGTACTGCATATGAACACTCATTTGGGATTTCATTTTTATGGTGTATTTTTTCTGATGAATGGGGCTCTGTAGCATCGCTTCTCCTTCATGGAACCTCTCAGCTGCTCCTGGTAGATAGCTGGTTTGTAAACATGAGCGTTACAAGTAAACATGTAGGTTTTTTTGTTCTCCCACTCATCATTTTTGAAATAACAGAATAAGTACTTGAGGTGAAAATACTGAACTTTTGATGTTCTTCCATCAGATTGCCATTTTTGTTAGAAGCATGAATTACTACAGTTCCTATGGCACCTGCAAAACATCTTTTACATACAGAAAAGGCTTCTCTGCTGGACTCACACAGTTTAAATATCCAGCCCTTTCCTTGCTTGATGCATTTCCATCAGAAGCTGGAACTTATCCAAGAGCAAAGGTCTACTCACAGATTTCCCTCTACAGCCTTTGTGTTCAGACCTGAGTTGAGTCATATCAGCAACTGTATACATCCAGTTCATTAATTTTTTTTCTGAAGTACAGATGGTTTTGGGAGCTTTACCATTTCTCCAGAAGATATTGTGGGCATGGTTGGTTGGTTTGTTTATCTATTTTTTGTCTTTGCTAAGCTCTTGGCTATGCAGTTGTAAAGGTATCTGCTGGATTTCCTCCTTAGTTCATTGGCTATGTGGGGTAGGACTTGATGGGCAGGTTTCATTTACAAATCCCTTTGCAGGATAAGAGCCCTCTGTTTCTAGAATGCCCTTGTTCCTTCTTCATTTAATCACATTGCATTTTCCCTTTGAAACAACCATAATAATTCTTACAACAAATCATGCTGTTAGTTAAGTGGATAGTTTGTGAATGCTTTATAAATAGGAACAGAAAAACTGAAGAATAACTGCATGATTATGTAAATTAGACACAGTCAACTAAGTGGACTGTGCAACTCTGAACAAGAAAGAGGAAAAATAAACATGGGGGAGTGGTGCATATTTTCCAAGATGCAACAGCAGTTTATTTAACTTTGAATCTAGCATTAAATGTTACTGTGCTCCGGAAAGGAAGAATACCTTTTTCTTGGTAACCTCCTTCCACTTAGTTGCTATATTTCAAAATAAATCTCTTAAATATATAAGGCAAGAAGGCAGCATAATGAGGATTCATTTTTAAATTCAACAGGCTATTGCATTTCAACAAGCAGTTTCTCTTTTAAATTCGGGAGCTTTGTTTTGAACTACAACATACATATTTTACACAGGCATTTAATATTAAAGTCTTCAAGTGATGAGAATTTACCCATGCCTGCTGTTGCAATAGTTAATTACCCCAGGTACATTTTTCACTTGATTTTTCAATTTGCATTTCTAGCTCCACCTTAAGTTATTTTGGTCTTTTTATGCCTTTGATTGCTTATATTGATCTCTGTAGTATCAGCTTTTCTAATTGCTTGTGCGTAGCTATAAATTGTGATTATGTCCCTTTTAACCTTTTCTCTGATGAGATGTACTGAGTTCCTTAACTTTCTTACAGCAATGAATGCTATTCAAGACTAATTAGTCTTCATGTTCTTCTCTGTAATTCTCATGTATTGAAATATTTTTGTGACCTCTGAATTAGATGCAACATGTCAATAGCAATTCATCAGGACTATACAGAGACATAATGTGATCCTCTTATTCTTATTACTACCTCCCCCTACCCTATTTCCTCAAAAACCATGTTATCCTTTATTTTTTTTCTGCGGAAGAGTTACCTGGGATGCTGGCTTTTATGGCTCAAGTCCTCTTCAACATCTTTTTTGAGAATGCGGTACATCATCCTCTTATTATCCTACCTTATTTTTTCTTATAAGCGTGCACTGTATTTTACCAGCATTAAAATACTGCTTGTGAAGTGATCCAGATTGCTCTGTATAAGTGACCTGTTCTCGTTCTTTACTACTCCAATGGTCTGCAAGTCCTTTGCAAATTTATTGCAAGTGACTTTTACAGTTTCTTCCGGATCATTGATTTTTAAAATTGAATGCAAGGCAAGGTTTGTAGAGAGGGCTGATAAGTTCTTATTAGGTTGGTGACATGGACGAGGGGGACAGAGAAAAGCAAACAGACACACCGTTGAGTTCATGTCTCTTTTTTTCCTCAGAGTCTTTAAAAAATTGAATAAGATAGAAATTCCAGGACAAACATCTATGCTTCTTGCTGATTCCCTATTAATGCTGCATTTTGAAATTACCCGTCTGTCTTCAATACAACAGTCTGTATTGATTTTTATCTACCATGGGTATCTTAAAGAAAATGACAAGTTCATCTGCTTTTCACTAGGTGCCTTAGGGTTCTTGAGGATAACACCTCAGTACAGGTGTCTCTGCAAGCTCACTATATCAAAAGGAAAAATGCAGCATGTTGTTCAAGACCTATTCTCCATGAAGCTGTGTTGATTGACGTTATACATCTATCCTTAAATTAGTCTCATATCCATTTCACTGTATTGCCCAGATCACCACTAAGCAAACGAGGCCATTAATTACCCTGATCATCCTTCTTCAGCACAATGTTGTTCTTGCAGTCCTGTGAAATGTCAAGACTGTGTTGAGACTTGTTAAACTAATTACATGTTTAGGCTCCTGCTGCTGGAAAGGCTTCTACTACCAAATGTAGTTGTTGTTATTTTAAGCAACCACTCAATATGCAATCCGTATTACGAAGCATCAGTTGACTTCAGGTTTCAATATTTATTGTACTGACTTAATCTTTTTTTTCTTTTTCCTGACCTGTTGCCTTTTATTACTGCCTTCAAATCTTCTGTGCAGCAGACTGGTTTCACTGGTAAAAACTGCATGCTGCCAGCAAATGATCTTAGCAATACAGTGAAGTCAGTTTGAAGGAATACAGTTGTGCTCAGCTTTTGTCTACTCAAGAAAACATAAATAAATGCAATAAACCCAGCAAATTTTAGGAGTATAATTACAAGATATAACTGTGAGGAAGCTAAGGGGTTTTTTTGGCTTTTCTGTATAGTGACAAATTACAAGTATTTCATTACTCCTACTGGTCCCTTTCTTATCATTTATATAGACTTGTTCAGAAATTCGACCTTCTCCTTTGTTTTTTTCCAAGTTTTACAGACCCTAAAAAGGAGGAATATTCAAAACAGGAATTCAATAACCAAAAGTCATTTGATTAACATCTCTAAACAATGCAGAAATAAGTCACAAAAGAACAAGTGATCTTAGCCAGCCTCCTGCTACGGTGAGGCTTATAAGACAACAGAGGCCTGGGGCTTTTCCCAGCCCTTGTGGCCCCATTACCCAACGTTCACATTTGTGCAAGCAAGTCAGTGCGCTGCTGCCTTGCAGCAGTCTGTGGAAAACCAGTGTGTGTTCAGACACATTGCACCTCTCGTGAGCGGCTCAAACTACTAAGTGTAGCACAGAGAAGACATCAGTGGACTTGTGCATCTTGTTCATCTGCTGCGGCTGAGCAACATGTGAAGAGGTGCTTTTATAAGGAGCACATCAAGCCTGCTCTGAAAATTGTACCTGTTTGCTCTCTGCTGAAATGAATTAATTTCTGCTTAAAAGCAATTAAGCAGTGGGACTGCAGTCTTGAAGTAGGGTGGAGAAACAAGTCAACCTAAACTTTTCTGTTAGGAAGCACAACTTAAAAGCAACTGCTAGTCCGAACTTGAATGTAAATTTCACAGAACAAGAACAGCTTCTAAAACACTGACTGAACAAGATGCGGTTTAGCAACTGTTTAGGTTGTACCTTGTGTCATTTGCTGTTCACTTGGTCTTGCAATGGTAGATGGTACCTTTTGTTATTTTGAAGATGTTAGCTTGAAATGTTTACATTTTTACTAGTTTTGTGACATTTTTTCTATGGTAATCATATTAATAGTCATTTTACAGTGTTTTATACATATCTAGAAATACTGTCCTAGCATTCAGAGTTAATCTGTAATTAGTGTAGATTGTTGTTTATAGTAAAGTGCAGATTTGAAAACTAATGTATTGTGAAATGTTAGAACAAGAGTCCTAATTTTTTTTTTGCTGCTAACATAATGTATTTTGATTAAAATGTGCAAGTGGAATTAAAAATATTTCTTTAAAAAATATTAAGAAGTGTTTGGTATAATTTTCGTTGCTTCTAGAATACATCAAGATTTGCTACAGTTTATAAACCATGGGTGATGGCTGTTGTAAAATCAGAGAACCTATGGCTACCTTTTGAAGAGCTCACATCCTACTTGGCCTCTATGCTATTTCAGACAGCAGCAAACAACCTTGCCCTTGGGTTTGTAAACAGGAGGAAGAGAGGAAAAAAACACTTGGCAGTGAGCGTTAATTGCTCAACGAGTAGTCCAGTATATCCAGTAGATCTGTGCAGACATCTAAAGTGAGGAACATTAGCTGAGGTGCACCTTGTTTGCACAAATGCGCCTGACTGTTTGCTTTTAGCTGCTGTCTCACTTCCCTCCTAGTCACATAAGAAAGTGTGATGAAGCATCTTTTGCATCATTCAGTCGGCTTCTGGTCCCAGGTTGCCGGATTTGTAAGGTGGTTGCAGAAATTGAGCCCCTGACACTACTTACACCATCCCTCCCCCTTTTTTTTCCTCCTTCCTTGCATAGGGCAGTCTTGTGGTGACTCCTGTTCCCCCAGGACAGAGCTCAGCGTAACTGCTTGTTTAAAGCTAACTGTGCCACTCAAGTAAAGTATAATTTGGGCCCAATTATCACCAATTATCATAAAAGAACTGTAATAAACATAGGGCGAGTTGTTAGACGTTTTAATTTTAGAATATTTGACTGATTTATGAGTCCATGAAAGAAACAAAGTATGATTGATAATTGCAAGGCAAGCCAATGCAGTTGAACGTTTTAATGAAGATCATGGTGCAGCTAATGTTGTAGTTTGCTTTAAGCGATCCTAGCAAAGTAAGATATGATGATCTCTTCACATAGCCATTGCCAAATGGTTATATTTTAATCTTTCCATGCATGTATTATATATTCAGAGGAAAATCTGTTTGTGAGACATCAAAATAAATTGCTTTTCATGGGGAAAAAGCAATCTTTCAACATTTTTATATCAAGATAGCTTTCTAAATGTTCTTTATGTACCTCCCCAAAGGGAGAAAAATTATAATAACTAGTGAGGTGTATTTTACTCTTAGAGCTTTTCTTCAGATATCTATAAACTTACCCAGTGGTGACAAAATAATTTGGAAATGATGGCCTGGCTCACTTGAGGTTTTTAGTGATACTGTCCAACATCACCCATGCCAAATTGTGGCACAGGAATAACTGAACAGGGAAGTTGTAGAGTCGCTGTTCAGACACAGACAGGTTCTCCCTAGAGCTTAGTAACTCCAGCCTCTTACAGGCATTCGCAGGAAGCCTTATGTCTTGTCAAAGTTTCATGGCATACATGTGTCTGGATAAATGTGTAGAAGCAGTAAAAAGTTAAAATGTCTATTTTTTAAATGAAATTTTGGCATGATTTTTGCCTTGTTAAACTTGCAGTTGCCATGAAAATTTTCTTTCTGAATTTTAAAATTTGTACGTTTTCTTTCACTAAGAGGGAAGAAGTCAGTAATAGTTCATTGCTTTTTTTTTTTTTTTTTTTTTTTGTCACTGGCTATAATGGTAGTACCAATATATCAGTAACTATTTTTTTTTTCTACCCTGAAGGCAAATGGTCCTAGTCTTTCTTTGGATTATATTTTCCATTTTCTAATTAGTGTCTATTTCAAAATCCCACATGTATTTTGATGATATCTTTCTTGAGATCGGTGCCCAGAGCTGAACAGACAGTTCTAGCTCAGGGGTACTCTTGAATTACAAGAACATAATATTTTAAATAGTATTGTCTACATTTTAGCTGCTCATTCCGCATTAGCGAAAAACAAATGTTTCCATTGATCTGTGGTTGGAATCATCTGTTCTTAAATAAAGACCTTAGGAAAGAAAAGGAAAAGGGATCCTAGCGCTGCTGTAGTGAACTTAACATCTGACTTACAAATTTCTCAATAGTGGGAAAAATGTGGATGTGAAGCTGGCACAAGTAAGATGCTTTGTCCACACAACATTTGTTTTTCAGATGGTAGCAGCTGCTATGCTTCCTTTGTTTTCGAGCAATCATTACTCTTTAGTCCCTGATGTCTGTACGCAAGGGTTGAGAGTTTTTAAAATAAACTGAAAGCAATTTAATGGACCTTCTCATGATGTGAATGTATCAGCTGGAGTCACGAGAGCTGGAGTACAGGGCTGCCAGACTTGTAGCCCGTTTAGCTGGCTGGTAGGAAAATCTGGTGCTGGATGCAGCGCCTTTGATGATGCTGTGGGAATACATTATCTCTCGACTGCTCCAAGGAAGTACCTAACGTGTGGAGAAGAAAGGCATGCGAATGCGTGTGGTCTTAACATCTTTGCTCCCATTGCTCCAAATCTAATCACAGCAGATTTCCCTAGGGAGTCAGGAGGGGCAATTCAAACAGGAATAACACAGTAAGAGAGCCTTTGTATGAAGTTGTATTTTGATGTTTTTCCATTGAGCCATTTGCTGGGGCCATGGATTATTCCTACTGTAAATCAGTCGTGTTGCAATGCAGCTGCCACGGGCTGCAGCACCATGCACCCCGTTGGCATTGCAGTAGGAGACTCTGCACCCCTTTGGCCGCTGAGGAGGTACAGCAGCTTCTCACGCCAGCCAAGTGTGCCTGTGGGCTGCCTTCCTGGGGAAACCTCAGCCACTGAGGATGTTTTCAGGCAGGGGGATGCCAGGCCTGGGTCCCCTTACCTTGGCTCTGAGAGCAGGCAGAAGTAGGCTGCATTGACACGGGTCAGAGCTGGACTCCAGCGTTTTGGTATGCGGGTAATCTTGTCCCTGCTGACACAGCTGAGATAACCCTGGCTTAAAGCTAAGTTGGGCCTATGGCAGCTTTCCTTTTCTTTCTCCTGGATCCAGACCTACTGACTGAACGCAGAGGATGTCTGTTCTTCTCACCAGCATGACTTTTCCCCATGGGCATAGGGCAGGCAGCCTCTTCAAGCGTGCAAGACACTTTACTCAACATTTGAAGACACTTAAATTGTGCTGAACATCTGAAAAGCTTTTTATTAAGGACAAATCCTAATAACATTACTTCACACAGTGCTGCAGCTCAAACTGGATTTACTACACCATGCCATGGATTGGTCAGTAATTTTTTTTAAGAAGAGTTCATTTGTATGTTTGATACATCACTATTTACTCAGGGTAGGTACAGTTACAAGTGTATACCTTCATTTCAGGTGCTTGCTCATATCATACAAGAGCTAGAGCAAGGCCATGGCTTCTCAGCTCCTCACCTTTTAAATGGGGACGATAGTGATGGTTGTTTCCATCACACTTTTTGAGGTATTATTCCTTAGTGGTGCTAGATTTGGCACAACAATGTCATTCTTTGTGACCATGACCGAAATACTGCTGTCCACAGAGACTCTCCTGAACTGGGCGTGTGCAGCAGCTGTCAGACTGACGGTATTGTGGCAGGACTGTCATTGTCACTGCTGTTTTTTTCCCTGGAGACCCTGCAGTTAACAGGGTTTTGATGGAGCACAGCTGGAACGCCAGTGCTCCCTGCTACAGCGCTTGCCTAGCATCTGGGAGCTTTAGCCCTCATGGCCTGGGACACCTTCATCACGCTGCTGTGTTCAGCTGATGCCACAGTCACCTCCTGGTGCTTGGTCACCTCCCAAAGGCACTGGTCATGCACACATTTCCTCAACAGGCCTGTGTTTTTTTACTTGCTTCAGCCAAAGTAAATAAATAAAGGTGAATTGATTCTTTCTTTGAAAACGAGCAAGCGCTAACACAAAGCAGTCTGTGGTAGAGGGATGCTGTGTTGGTTAAGTGTAATGTGCCTGCTGTTACCACCGCTGCTTCCAAGCTGGGGCTGCTGCCATGCGCTGCGGCTCCAGGTTCCACTTCCAACTCATGTTAAGCTGCCTCTGACTTTCTTCCCTGCCTCTCTTCAGATTTTAAAAGGGATCCAAGGGTGGAGGAAAGCTTTAAAAGGGAAAAGACTTGAAGTTCTCCTCATTTCTACAGATATTAATCAAAGACAAATATTTGTAATGTAAGAACATGGCAGTTTTGGAATGATGACTATATGAGGAGTTGCATGCAGCCCACAGAAACCCGATTAGGATGCTTTCAGAAAAGCTATTTGACATTTTCACTGACTTCCAACTTACTGAGCAGCTTTTTCAGCTTCTTGTAGTGACAACGTCCAGAAATGAGCTTGTTTAGTCCCTGTACTATCTACATCAAATTAGATACAAGTTCTGGTTTTGATAAACAAAAGCCAAAAAGCACATCCAAGCAAACAAGCATTTCCACACCCTCTGTCTCTGTCCCAGCCCAGCATTTCAAGGTGTGATGCTCATTTCGTGCTCTCTGGAACAGGACCACGGCTGACAAAGCCGGATTCCCTTCTGGCATTCCCATTCATGCGTTCTGTCAAACAGCATTTCCTTTGATTTTATCAAGACCTTCTTGACTGTGATCTTCAAAGCAATTAATTCAGTGTTCCATGATTGCAGCTGCTGAATAATTGTTTGTTAGAGTATTTTCTTTCCCAGGCAAGAGATGTAAAATAGTTGCTCTCCTCAATAAACAACTTGTCAAATGTGATTAGTTAATGGACCTGTAATCATGCAATAGCTTAAAGGTAAGGATTTGGTAAGTGCTATGTGAAAATGCATATTTAAATTAAAGCTATAGAAGAAGATTTTCCCATAGGAAATCCTGCTATCAATGCTGAAATAGACTATTTACCATTCCTAATGATTAACTATAGATCATTAATTAAAGAAAACAAGAGATTAGTCATCAAGCATTTCAAATTAAAGATGCATTGATTGTTTGAGTTACTTTTAGGTTGAGCTGGGAGATCAGGTTAGCTCACAGGTCCCGGTGCCTGAGCTGGCCAGCCCATGTAAACCGATATGCAGAAGTCAAAGCCTGATAAAATTAAGGCCCAGATTTACTGGCCAGTCTTAAGCTCCAAGAGCCCGAAATTTGATCCTGTATTGCTAGTCATCAGCCCGGTAATTCTCCGTGTCATTCC